TTAAAATAATCCGGTTTTGCTGAGTGTTTGTTTTCTTGTCTGGTGTATGTTTTGAGAAACTTTTCTCACATTTTATTCAAACCGCTGCTGCACTGTAACCGATCATTTCTCGAGCCGCTGTTTGCTGCTTTGTGCCGGTGCTGCTCTCTGTTCTGATAATCAGCATGGGAATCTACGTGGCTGTGGGCTGCATCGTGTCATACGTCCTCCTGGATGTTGTCACCACCACTGTCCTGTACGCACATGAATCACAGCTGAGCACCTTCACAGAGGATGCTCTCAACTTTAACATCCTTCAGTCTGCACTGGACATCTGGGGGACAGTGCTGCTCCGAGCCTCCCTCCTGCTGGGAGCCTCTTTAGGGGTGACATGGAACAAGGTGGACGGCCCGCAGAGGGTTGCTAAATCCACCAGCCTTATTCTCCTCATCTGTCTGATCGTCATCACCTATACACTGGCCAAGCTGCTGATGCTGACTGAGGTGAGGACTTTGAGCATCAGTCACCAGCCCTGGCTCTTGAGCCTGATATGTTGGACTTGTGCCTCTTCTCTGGGAGTAATGCTGCTCTGGAGGTGGCTGGGGAAGGAGCCGGAGTCTGAGAGCAGCAGTAGTGGTAGAGGAACAAGGGGCCGTGAGGACACTGAAAAGCTGGTGGAGACAGTTGGCGAGGAGGAGCAGGAGTTGGGCTCTGAGAGAAAGAAGGAGAAGGACAGCAGCTCAGGGGCCACACTGGGACGCCTGCTGAGCTACTGCAAAAAGGATGCTGAGCTGCTCTCTGTTGCTGTCCTCTTCCTCATCATCTCTGCTGTGTGTGAGTGTCCTTAATGTCACATTATTTACTGCTGTCTGCTATAAAGGATTTAGACACACTGCCCCAATGCAACTGACAAAACTGAGTCTGCAGGTTCTGATTACGCTACTCATGCCGCATTACACAACACTTTTTAATTACAGATAAGTGCTATGGTAGAAAAACAAGTGCGTTCTTTTCAATATGTTCCAATTGTTGATGCTTTCTGTCATGGAATTATTAAAAGGACCCCTAACTCACTCATATGGGTCCCAGTTCCTAAAAGACAAATGTTTTTTGTCATAAAGCCCAAAGATATTGATCAGTATATTCATCTACATTACTAACCAGAAGCCTCACCCACCTGCTGTTCAAACCTTCTGTTTCAAAGGACTAGCCAATCAGAAGAAAGTTGACTTAAACGGTGCCTGTGCCAAGGCCCTGTATATTAAACGCTGGGTTTCATTTCAACTGTGAAGCATACAGAGCGTCTCTATTAGAGTCCAAGAATAAAAATAAAAGAGCTGGAAATGGTATATTTGGTGAATGCCAATAAACATCTATACATACATTAATAAGTCAAAGTCATACTAAGTAACTCTAAGGCTCATTATTGTTCATAACAGTGGGCTGAATGCCACAACCTCCAACAGCACTCAGAGTTTTATCAGTTTCATCAAATCTTTAACTAATGGAATATCATTAAATACACACATTTCATTCAAATCATTTTGGAAGTTTGCTCATTTTCTTTGAAGTGCAATATAAAAATTTGAGGTATTTTCTGTACTCGTACATCTAAACTATGCATTTGTCCATCCATCCATTGGTTTTGTGCTGCTTAAAAAGCGATTACAGGGGCAACAGTCTGAGCAGAGACGCCTAGAACTCACTTTCCTCCACGTCAGCCTCCAGCTCTTCCACAAGGATATCCCAAACCAGCCAAAACACATAATTTGTCCAGCATGTCCTTGGTGGGCCCAGGGGTCTCTTTCTTGTTGGGTATACAAGAAAAACTTCATATTGGACATGTTCAGGAGGCATCTTAACTAATCATCCCTTGCCTGAACTGCTCCCCAGGAACTGAGCATCTGAGCTCTAAGGGTGAGCCCAAACACCTCGAGGTTCTGTTCCTAAATGTTAGAAAAACATTTGGGACAAGGGGAGTCCCAAATGTCCCAAAAAACAAAAAACGCTCTCACTATGAATGTACAGTGACCTTATTTTTCACTCTATTTAGAATTGAATAAAAAAAAAAAAGCATGGAGCATGGAGGTTACCACTGTTGCCGCACAGCAAGAATATCCTGAGTTCAATTCTCCATCAGGCTGTGGTCTTTCAGTGTGGAGTTTGCATGTTCTCCCAGGGTACTCCGGCTTCCTCCCACAGTCCAAAGACATGCAGCTAGTGGGGATAGGTTAATTGATCAATCTAAATTGCCTATAGGTGTGAATGTGAGCATGAATGGTTGTCTGTCTCTGTGTGTTAGCCCTGCGACAGACTGGCGACCTGTCCAGGATGTACCCCGCCTCTCGCCCTATGACAGCTGGGATAGGCACAAGCACACCCTGCCACTTTGAAAGGGATAAGCCGAAGCGAATGGATGGATGGATAAAAAACAAATTAAATAAAATTTAATGCTCAAGTTGTCACAAAGCCTTTATGTATGGATCATCAGTTCAACTTAGACTTTAAAAAACATTAAGTAATGATGACTCTTTGCTTTCAGGTGAGGCTTTCATACCGTACTACTATGGGAAAGCCATAGACAGTATTGTGGTTCACCAAAGCATGGAGTACTTTGCCAAACCTGTGATCATACTTGCAGCACTGGCCTTAGCCAGGTGAGCATCCGCAGTTGTAGGTTTTAATTTTTGTTTTTTATGTTTTGTTTACATTTTGTTGTAAATTACACAGAGGAATGCATTGAGCTTATACACTGAGATGATCCTAGGCGAAGCTGCTTGCTTTGTTTAGATGATGTCGTGTGTTAAATGCCAAACCACAGAACTGCTTCATGGCAGTCTTTTCTCTCTCCTCAGTTCACTTGCAATCGGAGTACGAGGAGGTGTCTTCACCCTGACGTTTGCGAGATTAAACCTTCGTCTCAGGAACCATCTTTTCCGAACCTTGATGAGGCAGGAAATTGCCTTTTTTGATGAAAATCACACAGGTGATGTTGAACGCAAGTTCCCGTGCACACATCGCTCTCTTCCATTGATCCGTTCTAATGTTATTCCACGCCCGTGTAACCCTGCAGGTGACATCCTTTCACGTCTGTCTGCTGACACCACCCAGGTGAGCGACCTCATCTCCCAGAACGTCAATATCTTCCTGCGGAGTGTCATTAAGAGCGTTGGCTTCTTCATCTTCATGTTTGGCATGTCCTGGAAGCTCACACTGGTGACCATCATGGGATTCCCTTTCATCGGTCTAGTCTCAAAACTTTATGGTGAATACTACAAGGTAAAGTAGTTTTGTCTGAATGTTAATTTCTTTATAGTTTGCTTCCAAGAAGTCACATATTATTGTAATTTTTTTAAAGTGGTCTTGAGAAATAGTTATTACAGTTGTTGAGTATTGCAGCATCAACAGTGATCAAGTCGAAGGGAAATGACAACGGAGGCAAAAATGTCCTTAACATTTTGGGAACCACATTAGGGAACGCGGCAAAACCTTTCCTCATGGGTGCCATTTTTGTTGGGGTACACTTTCTCTCTCAGGGGCGTGATGATGCAGCATACGTGCTTCCTTGTGGTGACAAATAAAATACTGTCTCTCTGTTAAACAGCAATAACCATAATACAGTTCAACACATTGTACAACATGAGTACACATAGGGTGACCAACCGTTCTCTTTTCCCTGGACATGTCCACTTTTCACGTTCTGTCCGGGGGGATTTTCGAGATGGATGAAAATGTCCGGGTTTTCCTATAGGCATACAGAGGACCCATATGTGCGACTTCGTTCCGAACTGCTGCGTTGTAAGTGGTTGTTCCGCGCTCACAGTCAGGACAGAGTGCGCAGCGGCGCGCTGAAAAGATGCCACAAGATGCCAAAGCGCAAGTGCATCTTTTCAGACAAACTGCAAAACAAATTTCCCTTGTACCATCCCTCAGAATAAATGGGAGGTGGAGTGCACTGTGTGCAGAGCTGGCAAATACGTTTGTGTGTCTAACAAAGGTTTAAAAACGTATAAACAGGGGTGCATATAAGTGGTCTGCAGGTGCGCATTCGCTGTCAAAATAAAAGACGCGCACCAGATAAGAAGTTGCAACGTGCGTTTGCGTACATATAAAAGGCACTGTTTTTGTTCGCTAGAGTGGGATTTTCACGGCATATTCTGCACCAAATCTTTGTGCGTTCATCATTTGTTTGAAGCCAGCTCACCTCCTGCAACCACTTGTCCGAGAATATGCGCTTCTTTTTGCGGTTCGGACTCCTTCTGACATTTCTTTGGAGGTGGAGGAACACCAAAGTAATTGCTTAAAGGAGCTTGCTTATGTGCTCCTTTAAGCAATTACTTATGTGCACCCTGCATACAAAGGCTGTGCGAGGCGAAAATTCATCTAGTAAGTTGACTGAGTTCTTTGTTACACCTGGTAAAAACGAGGATGTCGTTGTTTCTGAACATTAAACTTGTGCCTTTCATGGTGTGTAACTTGAAGGCCCTGAGTACTTTCTCCCACACTGAAAACACTGGAATGATAAAATTATTTGAACATTACCTAATAAGACTGATTCAGGACAGACAATTAGTTATT